ACAGAATTGGGGTTTAGAAGTTTGAAGCTGACAGTCCACCAAGATGTTATCCTTTGTTTCAGTGAAACTTTGAGTAATCTCATCCACAGAGTCAATGAAGTGTCTTTTAAAGGCTTCAGCCATTTCAAAGGGATCCACAGATATTTTACCCTGTAGCTTTAACTGTAGTTGTTTTAATGATCCACTATTATTTACACCAATTAATTTCTTAATATGCTCCCAGATTTGTGTTGTATTACCTTTAGACTCATGAATAATACTAATAAAAAAAGTTTGCTTTAGCCTTTCTTAATTCTCGAGTGACCATATTATGTAACATTATAAACTTTTGTCTATCAATTGGCAATTTAAACTTCAGAAAATCTTTTAATACATGATCTCGGTCCTTCATCAGTTTCAGTAAGTCTAAAATACTAAAATACTGCATTCATAATTTTTTTTTTTAAAATTATATATATTTAGAAAAATATATATACTTTTCCATGGCAAAAATAAACCATAAATATTGCATAAATATTAATAAATTCAATAAAACTGTCTCAAAATACTAAATTAAAAAGAATAAATATTATAGAACAAAAATAAATTGCATTGGTTTTACTGGGATGGAGAAAGTTTCATTTTTAGGTGTCCGGTCACTTTTGACCGGGAAGATAACAAGTGTGACTCCGAAACGAAGAGCACCTGAGGGTTAACGACTTGAGCATAATAGAGTCCATTCCGTAACAGTCCTTAGCTTTGGAAGTCAGTGTTTTTATTATCCTTAATACCTCCTGCTCTGATATGTTACTTAAACAGAATTGGGGTTTAGAAGTTTGAAGCTGACAGTCCACCAAGATGTTATCCTTTGTTTTAGTGAAACTTTGAGTAATCTCATCCACAGAGTCAATGAAGTGTCTTTTAAAGGCTTCAGCCATTTCAAAGGGATCCACAGATATTTTATCCTGTAGCTTTAACTGTAGTTGTTTTAATGATCCACTATTATTTACACCAATTAATTTCTTAATATGCTCCCAGATTTGTGTTGTATTACCTTTAGACTCATGAATAATACTAATAAAAAAGTTTGCTTTAGCCTTTCTTAATTCTCGAGTGACCATATTATGCAACATTATAAACTTTTGTCTATCAATTGGCAATTTAAACTTCAGAAAATCTTTTAATACATGATCTCGGTCCTTCATCAGTTTCAGTAAGTCTGTACTAAGCCATGGTAGACAGTTCTTTTTACTCTTTTTCTTACCTTGGGATGTCTTTGTGAACTCTTGTGCTACACTCTGAATTGTGTTTATAAATCTCTCACTATCTTCCTCTACATTCCTCCCAGCTATAATTTCATTCCAGTTTATTTTATTTATAGTCATATGAAAATTCTCAAGTTCACTTTTAGGAATTCTAGAATGCTGGAAATGATATTTATTTGTCCTAAATCTATTTTTTGTCAGCTTTCTTGAGAATAAAATTAGGTTATGGTCAGTTAATCCTGTAATGAAGTTTTATGTTTTCTCAACTCTTTCTGGCCTGTTGGTAAAAAGTAAATCAATTTGCGTCTGTGAGGATGCGGTTAATCTAGTAGGACCTTTAATCAGTTGCGTAAAATCCATATTATCTGTAATTCTTTTTAAGGAATTTCTGTTTCTCTTGTCATCCCAATTTATATTAAAATCACCTAAGAGTAAGACTTCTTGTTTTGAATTATATTCTTTGAGTAACCTTTTTAATTCATCATAGAAGGCATTGGTAGAAGAAGGTGGACGATAGAGTAAAAACATAACAAAAGACATTTGAGAAGAGAGAGTAATAGTTAATCCAATACATTCAAGATTTACATTTGATAGTTGGATCTGGGTACAGTGAATATTATTCTTCAAGTAAACCATGACTCCACCACCTTTTCCCTTAACTCTATCTCGTCTAAATAAATTATATCCGGGTATATTCAAAGCTGCCGATGGTGAGTTCTATTTTAACCATGTTTCTGAAAGACAGAGAAAGTCTAGATTGGAGTCACACAACACATGTTTGACTTGTTCAATTTTAGACATTACACTACGGATATTTAAATGCCCTCCTAATAGTCCCCTAGGTTTCTTTTTGGGATCCCAGATTACTCTAGAATGATTTACTGTTTTAAAGAGTTTAAAACTGCGATGTTTTTTAAAAACGGGGTTTACAGGAGTAGGTCCATGGATGTCTTTACAGTTACTACCGTTATGTTTGTTTCCTTGATGGATTTGCTCTCCACGGGTGCAAGTTCTCCGTTTAGAGTTTGATGAACAGCCATTTCCTTCATTTTGAGGGTTTAAGTACTTACATTTTGCCGAATTCAAAACTCTCGGAAGCAGAGATCTAGTAGGACAACTTGAATGGGACAACGCCACTGACAAAAGTGCGCCTGGCGCTGCAGGTAAACAAGCTCCTCTAGGACAGATATCCAAATCCACCGTCATGCCCGTTGCATTCACCAGCAGACACCCACCGCCCTCATAATTCACTGTAGCCGTCGTGCACAATTGTTTAGGGACTTTAAGCAACAGCTGCTGATAGAACGGCGACGGCAGCCGGAAATAAACAGTTAACTGCCGTAGCTAAAGAGCGCAAAAATCACTAAGCAACAGTAAAGAGGACGGCATAGGGAATAATTTAATCATCAGACAGAATACAAAAAGAAAGTGATTTTAAAAAGAAAGAGAAGGGTTGATTTTAGCACTTAATGATATACAGAAACGATTTCAATGCCACATAACCTAAAACATAACATTAACTGTCTTAATCTGTCACGTAGTAACGACTACGGCAAATCAGTTGTTCTCCCGTAGTAGACGGTTACAGTAGAACGTCAAGAAGGAGCAGTTAATGTCGCGCATGCGCAATAGAACGCCAGAATGCCGTTGCCGTTCCACCAGAGGCTGTTGTTTAAAGTCCCTATTATCCTCATCTGTAGCAACAGCTGCCATGTGTTCCCGACTCTCTCCCTCCGCTGCAGTCACCTCGCGCTCCCAGCCCCCACCACCCGCAGCAAGCTGCACGGCAGTGCATGAGACATTCACCGGGCTGGGCGTCGACTCCCCGGCGTGTAAACAACTGTAGAGGGAAGGGACACTGTGCCTCTGATCCAAAGGCCCACCGATGAGGTCTCTGCACTCCTCAACTTGTTGAACTTGGACATCAAATGCAGTTGCTAGTCCAGACTGATTTACGCTAGGCCACATCGCTCCGTCCACAACGGTTGAATTTGGACCGGGGCACTGATGAACATCGCCAGAGAGGAGCAGACAGAGTGTAATGATACAACGGTTGCTTGCGTGGTATTTGGCTTGATAAGATTTTTGAGTCTTATGTTGACCTAGGTAGATGAATGCATTAATCACAGCATTTTTCCCGTAAAGCCTAATACCTTGATTGTAGTTTCGAAAGACAGATGTAGAGAAATCCCGCTTGTCACAGATACAATTTATCTGAGGCGGACCTGTATCTAACAACGTTAAAATAAAGCTATAAACTAAAAACGCAACCAACGCCCCTGACATGCCTGATCCACTGTTTTGCCTGCTGCCATCTTGCCTTTTCCACTTAATGGAAATTCGCGTTTTAATGTAGCTACTAAAGGCTACAATTTTTATTATATTCTCAATATGTACACATTCATTATTACTCTTGTGGCTAAAATGATGAAAACAGCTTTGTTAATGTTTCTTGTCCCCTCGCAATGACAGAGTAAACTATTAAATTGCATGAGACGAGTCACGTTACATAGGCCTATTTATTTTAGTTCAAAATGGCGAAATTAGACAAAACTATATTAGTTTGCCTGATTTCATTCGTCATTTCATTTCTGATGTCATTCGTTTAACATTTATGACCTAAAATACTGTATGTAAAATATGAAATGTTAAGTTTAGCCACTTACATCTTATCTCGCACTTGCCCGTAAACTGAAGCGTCGAGTTGCTCTGCTGAAATTCGCGCTCTGCAGCATCAGTGAACATAAAGCCCGCCTATTTTGATTTGATTTGTCATCTCAAATATTCTGACATTGACTAGCAGTGACAGACCAATGAGGCTCAGATGAACACGAACACACGAACACACACACACCCTGTCCTCTGTTTTTGACGTGCTCTCTGCTCGCGCGCTGAATCTGATAACAGAACTTAAGGGAACACGAAATTCTGTCGCCTACATTTTAGGGGGGCTGATGTCGTAGGAAATTGAATTCACAAAACGATGTTCTAGGCCTATCTAAGGCTCCCTTCGAGCCCTTAGAGTCGGTCTCAGAAAAGCTTTTGTCTCTCAAGACTATATTTCTACTAGCTATTTCGGCCCTTAAAAGAGTTGGAGATCTTCAGGCCCTTTCGGTATCCCCTACGTGCCTTGAGTTCGCATTGGGGATTGTCAAGGCATTTTTATATCCTAAACAAGGCTAAGTTCCTAAGGTGCCCACCATTATTCCTAGGCACTGCATGAAAAGTGGGGTTTTCATCCCTGTAAACTGCCGTGAATCCCACTAATCTCCGGCAGTTATTGGACTTTTCAGCATTGCGCGTTTGCCTGTGCCGAAAATCATCGGAAATGTATAGGCGCCTCCGTGCGGGATTAACAACTCTATTACCATATGAAAAGCAGAAGCATCGTCACCAGCCCGACCAAGCTTCTCAGTCACTGAGTTAGACAAATGACATCATCAAATCATCAATCACATCTGATTGGTTGGTAGATCTGTCGCTATTGGTCGCCCTGGACCTTTAGAAATAGTACAGGCTTGGGTAAACCCCTCCCCAATAATAATGATTATTATTTATAAATTATATATATATAATCCTGTATTAAAAACACACCTCTTACTGGAGACTGTATTCATGTGATATAGCCATATGATGTTACATTTTGTATTCATGTTAATAACTAGGACATACATTTATGAAGAACATGAAGAATTTCTGAGACAAGTGTTGATTAAAACTTTTTTTATTAAAAAAAAAAAAAGAAAACAAATGCATATTAACAAGCAATAACAAAATACATCAAATGCGCAGCTCGGGGATGAAATGTCTGTCCACCTCTGGGCCATGTGGTGGTGGCTTTCTGTCCGAACATGATCCACTGTACAGACGCCTGTGACGCAAGCAGCTGGAAAACAATATATGTGTGCATTGTAAATAAATAGTGTGACCACAGCACATACATCAAAAACAATATTAACATAAAAACAATATACACACCCCACAGTAACAGATACTTACACACAATCGCATCGTTGTCAACACCATACAATCCGGGCTTGCGTGCAGAGCTCCGACCAAAAACGATGTGACTGCTGCATTGGCGAACACAGTCTGTGAAAACAAATGTGAGATTAAATAACAGTAAAAGAAATATGAATCCAAAATTTTTCGCTTTCTACACAGTAGATTGCATGCTTTGTATGTATGTCTTACCTTTGCCCAGCATCATAGCGCGCCTGTGATTCGTCTCGGAGTTGTGCAGGCGACGGACGGCTTCCTATGAAACAAAAGCAGAAAAAAAAAATATATTGTGAACTTACTTGCTGTGAACACACAGTGATTCTTATTGTTTTTAGTTTAGAAATGACCATGTCTTACCGCAATTTTCGGACTGTTCTTCAGATGCTCCTGCTTGACGCTCACGCGCTGCTCCTGCTCGCGGTGTGAACGCACTTATTGATTAACATGCACGCCGAAAAAACACCCGCCGCTCACGCGCCGCTGAAGGTTATAAACAACTGCAATAATGTGATACTGACCCTATTCATCACTATCATCATGTACAGCGATCCTCAATTAGAAGTTCATTGGCGAATTTCTCCTCCACTTCTCCCTCTCCGGCTTCCGCCAACAGATCCCGCCCAGATCCGCAGGGCTCTCTAGCGTTCAAAAAAAACTGGCTTGAACAGACAATCTGACGGGTTTTAGAAGATTAAATACAACCCGAAACTAAAAAACAGACCAGACCTCTATTTGAGACTGGTCTTTATTTATCTTTTAACTTGTCGTCAAACCAGGCGTGTAAAAGAGACAGGTGTCTATTTGGTACTCAGCTATTATTTGAAGTTTTACTATGACATGGGTGACTTATTACCTTTCCAGACAATACGTCATTAAACTTTCATCATTGCCTTAATATTGGTCAAACGTTTCCTCTGTATTATATTTCACATAATTGAAGGAAAATATTACAAAGAATTATTTAAAACTAAAGAAAATGAAAAAAAGTTACTTTAGTTAAAAATGTTGTAGTCACTTGCATGAACAAATCATTGTTAAAATGTAAGCATCTGGTTACAGAAAGGTAATCACACCTCCACCACTGCTAACTTACTTGATTTGCATTTGTATGGCTCACAGCGATTTCATTTCCATGTGAAAGCCACCCCTAGACCGGGGGGTAGGGGGGTCATGGGGGCATCAAACACAGCCCACGTCAATTCCTGGCAGTTCCTGACAGTTTTTGGTGCTGACCAAAAATTCCTGTTAATAGCCGTTAACCTCAAATTCCACGACAATTTTATGTGCCATTAATTGCCAAAAATCCCACTTCTCATGCAGTGAGGCCTATTGTGCTGCAGGCTTTCTGTCCTCCTCCTTTCACTTCTTCGGACCAGGAAAAGCTGAACCTTTTGTCGCACTGGACACTTATGTTCATCGGTCTTCTCCATGGAGGAAGTCCGATCAATTATTTGTCTGTTTTGGGTCACCCAAGAAAGGTCTTCCTGCCTCTAAGCAGACAGTTAGTAAGTGGATAGTCAAGGCTTTTCTCTTGCTTATGAGTCTTCTGGCCAGCCGTGTCTTTTGGTGGTCAGGGCTCACTCTACTAGGAGTATGGCGGTCTCCAAGGCCTTAATATCTGGAGTATCTCCTGCCATACTTCCTGCATCCCTGTGATCGGCTTGCTTCTGCATTTTTTGAAGCTAGTTTCGGTTTGCACCGGATGCGCTTTTATCTCTTCCTGGTCATGACGTCACCTGCCGTGACGCTCATTCATTCCATTGGACTAAGTTGACATTGATGCTTCAGACTTGGGTTGCCACCTGTCCCGGTTTTACCAGGATTGTCCTTCTTTTTATTAACCTGTCCCGGGAAATTTAAGCACTCTCCCGGGACACTGAATGTCCCGGTTTTTCGAAAGGCTGCGTGAATAGGCTACGTATGTTCAAAACTGTGTAGTTCGTGGCCGCGTGCACCAGCTCTCCCTATGAGCTAACTGCTTAGGTCCCCGCCGCCACTAGGGGGCCCCCTAACTACAGATGGTAGTCACCGCTCAAAGTGTGGGGAAAAGTTCATCCCGTTGGCGCGCCCCACCTGTCACGTCTCTATTTCCCACCCGAGGGGCGCGCCAACGGGAGGAACTTTTCCATGTCTTTATATCTTTATTCGTTCATGGCGAGTCCGCATCTGTGATACCCAGTAAATTGTTATCACATTTGTGGTATGGTAATGTTATTAAGAAATATTTTGAACTTTGTTCATGGTTAATTAGCCTATTTCTACCATCCACTTGTACTAATTTATATGGTATATCGAGATCAGGAGAAATTGTGGAGTTCGCCAGCAGTGGGCAGTGTGGCGCTTTGTGTGTTTCCGGGCTTCGCGTTAGTTGTCCCGCTTTGCGGTCTTTCTCTTTCTGCTGAGCGAGATGGAAGACGGACACAGACTTTGCCCTCTCTCATTTATTTCTCCTGTTTCAGGTTGGTAGATTTGTAAATTAAGTTAAATAACTGAAATGTTAAATGTGTACATGTCGCTGAATGTGTTTTCGGGCCGTGTAACAAGGCTGTGGTATGAAAATGTGGACATATATGAATACAACGTTATCTCAGTGTCTGTATGTTCGTGCCCGATGACGTCATCTGTGATTACCAATGTCACGTCAAACGGAGTTTTATTTTGTTAGCTTTTGAACATTTTGTAAAGTATAATAGTTTTGAAAGGTATGATATTGTGTAATGTGTGAAAAGTTAGTGTTAAAACCTAACGTTTTGTATTCTAGAAGTGGTTAAAAAAAAACAAGTTATAAGTCTGTCAGCTCATGCATTGTGGAAGAGTAAAGAAAATGATGCAGGTTGAAAATGCATTTAGGGGTTACATGCAAGTGATAACATAAGCTAAGTTTTATATTAAGTTTAAAAGAGACTACTGACATGGTAAATGAGGTTTTGTCATATTGATTTATTTGGTCATACACAATTTATATCTCAGTAATTGCTGAAAGATGAGAAAAGACAAATTGTATTTTACTTTTGAAACTGTCTATTTCATGAGAAAATATTGTGTTTGTAACCAAGTAGGATTGAGAATGGTTGTGTAATAAATTCTCTCTCTTTCTGCTGAGCGAGATGGAAGACGGACACAGACTTTGCCCTCTCTCATTTATTTCTCCTGTTTCAGAGCAAGAGCATATAAGCTGTTTACATGACACCGGCCGGTACCTGTAACAGTTTATTGGGGGCTCGTTCCGGGATCACTCCCACCTGGTGGTCGGAAGCTGATCCAGTGATACTGCAACCTTGGACCAAAAGTGACCTGATGCAACCAGCGAGCTGCAGCCAGTGAAGAAGATCTCCAGATATCATCTATTCTGTTTGCTGATGAAGAGGTGACCTTTATTGAATAAAGAATATGACTGTGCGGTGCTGAAATTTCCACTCATCAAGAACAGAGCGTGAATTGTGATCCTGGACTCTTGTGACCAAGTGCATGGAATTGGGAAGCAGTATGGCGGATAGTGAGAGGAAAAGGTTGGTGTGGGCCATCAAAAAGACCCTGCTCACTCTCTCTGTAGATGAACTGTTCCAGATTGCCAAGTCAGTGGGTCCAGTGGCAGGAATCGATGAGTCTCGCGTCGAGTCGACAGATGAGGAGGGGTGTTTTGAGTACATTTGCAGTTTCATGTTCAGTGAGCCTTTATTTGAATTAGAGGATGCTGGGATGGCACATTTATTACACTTAAGGGAGGTAATTGCCACAGTCATTCAGGGTCGTGCTTCACAAGTTGCTGTAGCAATTGATGTTTCGGGCAGTGGGGATGTAAGCCATGCTAATGATAGTGATGCTACTACCAATTTTGGGATTGCTAGTACAACCCACATAGCACCCTCTACAGCTAATGACACGCATGACACAGAGCTGCAGAAACTACTTACTAGTTATGAGGAGCTGGGTAAGAGAATTATACAGTGCAAACACACACCCACCCCGCAGTCTGTACCTCAGTCATCTGTAAAGATAGGACTCACCTCACCGAGTAGTAATGTAGCTGGCACCAGAGGTTTAAGTGAAAACTCGACACCATTGACACATGACAAGTTGCTGTCTTTAAGGCAGTTGTCTTACCTTCATCGCAGGGAATTTAAGATTCAGGGGGGTCAGATTGGGGACCAGGGGTCAGATCTCAGTTATAACAGTGTCTGTCGGCAGATGGAAGATGGTTTAAAGGAGCAGTTCAGTGATGCAGAGGTTGTAAGAGCCGTCCTCAGAGCCATCAAGCCAGAAACTTTTAAAGACATGTTGATGAATAAGGATGACCTGGCTGTAGAAGAGCTAAAAGCCTTCCTCCATTCTCACCTGGGTGAGCAAAGTAACACCGAGCTGTTCCAGGAGCTCATGTGCACCAAACAAAGAGACAATGAGACACCCCAACAGTTTCTATACAGAGTCATAGGACTCAAGCAGAAGATCATGCTGGCCTCCAAACATGCTGACGCAGATGTCAAATACAGTGCAAGTACAGTGCAGGATGTGTTTCTCCACACCGTGTATCAAGGCTTAGGTCATAAACATGATGATGTCCGCAGAGAGCTGAAGTCATTGCTCGGGGACACCAGAGTATCGGATGAGGCAATCCTGAAAAAGATGAAGAAAATAATGTGCGATGAAAGCGAAAGGCAGCGAAGGCTAGGTCCAGCCACCCGCCAAAGGCTAACAAATGTGCATAGTGCGCAGTCTGAAGTTAACGCCACCCAGAGTCCCTGTGTAAAGGATAAAGTGCCGAAAACAGATGCGATCCAGCAGTTAACCGAAAAACTGGAACAGCTTACAGGTATGGTTGAGCTCATGAGATGCAGACAACGGTGGCAGGACAGTGCAGCTACAATGGGAAAGGCAGAGGAGACCGCAGGAGAGAAAAACCATATGGCTGTGACAGGTGTGTGGAACAAAATCGTCCTGACTGTCCTCATTGTTTCCACTGTGGAGAGGAAGGCCACTGGGCAGTGGGTTGTCTAAAGAGACCAGCACGTCAGGGAAACTGGAACCGGTCCCTGCCGAGGGACAAACAGTGACCGGGTTTCAGCGATCGTCCCAACCTGACACTTGTCATGCTGATCAACCTGAAAATGAAAGACTGGCAAAAGACTCAACCACTCACACAAAAGACAAAATCACGGACAAGAAACGGAAACAACCAAACAAGACACCCAATCCATTCACTCAAGACTTACCTCACAGCAAAAGGGAACGCCTAGCCAAACTCATTGGAAGAAGAGCTCTCACCCATTGTAACCTAAATGGATTGGCAGTCAGTGCTCTGCTAGACACTGGTGCTCAAGTAAGCATGATTGATAGAGACTGGAAGAGTAGGTATATACCTGACACTCCTGTCAGACCACTCAGTGAAATAATTGGCGAAGAAGACGAGTTAAAAGTGTATGCGGTGAACGGTGACGTCCTCCCGTTTGATGGTTGGGTTGCCCTTACAGTCAATTTGATGGGCAATGAAGACCCTAATCTGTCAATCACCGTGCCTTTTCTTGTCAGCAGTCTTGCTCTGGAGGGACCACTTTTAGGTTTCAACGTGCTTGAAGAGATGATACAAGAACAACCCGAAAATCTGATTTCAACTTTAGTCGTCCTACTCTGTAATGCCTTGTGTATACCAGCAGAGAAAGCAGAGCTAATGGTGAATTTCATCCAAGCTAGCAAACCCTCTGTGCAATACGGGCACCTGCGGACAGGCAGACAGGACACTGTTATCGCAGCAGGTCAGGTAGCCTGGGTCAAGTGCCAACTTCCTCCTAACATGAGTACATCTGACACAGTCTTCCTATTTGAGCCTGATGACAGCAGTGTGCAGTTGACAGAACTGGATGTGGGTGAAGGTCTGGTGGAGGTACAAAATACAAGAAAGCCTTATGTAGCTGTACCTGTGGGTAACAACACTAAACATATAGTAACTCTGCCGAGAAAGACCGTGCTTGGGAGCATCCACTGTGTTGAAAAAGTGATCGCCATAGACTCACCTGAAACACCCAAACCCACAGTAACTGTTAACAGTGCTGTATCAACACCTATGGACGCCCGTCCACCGTCATGGCAACCTCCCATCGACCTCAGTCACCTTGATGAGACACAAAGGGACAAAGTCAACAAAATGCTGTGTGAAGAAACCGGAGCTTTCGCACGTGACCGCAATGATATTGGATGTTTACCAAGTCTACAAATGTCGATCACCCTCACAGATGAAATCCCTGTCCAGAGAGCATACTCAGCAGTCCCGAAGCCACTGTTTAAAGAGGTCAAAGAATACGTGCAGGAGTTATTGATGAAAGGCTGGATAGTTAAGTCTAAGTCAGCGTATGCTGCCCCAGTCGTCTGTGTTAGGAAGAAGGATGGCAGCCTACGGCTTTGTATTGATTATCGCCTCCTGAACAAAAAGACTGTACCTGACCGGCATCCGCTGCCCAGAATACGAGACCTGACAGATACACTCGGGGGCTATACCTGGTTTAGCATTCTCGACCAGGGAAAAGCTTACCATCAGGGTTTCATTGCGGAGGGTTCACGTCACTTAACGGCCTTCATCACCCCGTGGGGCCTCTACGAGTGGGTCCGTATCCCATTCGGGCTCTCAAACGCCCCAGCAGCATTCCAGCGGAGCATGGAGGAGGTGCTAGGCACACTCAGGGATGAATGTTGCATTCCATATCTGGATGATGTGCTCTGTTATGCCAGAACATTCGATGAGCATGTGGAGGTTCTCCGTAAAGTGCTCCAGGCTCTTCAACAACACGGAGTAAAACTGAGGCCTGAAAAATGTGAACTGTTCAGACGGGAAGTCCGGTACGTCGGCCGCCTTGTGTCAGCTGATGGTGTAAAGATAGACCCAAGGGACTTTGAGGCAGTCAAAACCCTGACAAACAAGACACCACAGACAGTTGGTGAGGTGAGGAAACTGACTGGTTTCTTAGGATATTATCGCTCCTACATCCAGGATTTTTCCAGGATTGCAAAACCAATCTATGAGTTGCTCCAAACCAAGCCAGGGAAAGCCCAGATTCTAGAACGTGGGAAAACCTCCAAACGCCCACAGCTGTGTTCCCGAGAGGGCTTGGGGGCCGTCCTCTATCAGCGGCAAAATGGAAAACTGAATCATTGGTTATGGCTCGAGAACGTTGACACCGGCTGAGCGTAATTATCACCTGCATAGCGGCAAACTGGAGTTCCGCGCACTGAAATGGGCGGTGTGTGAAAAGTTCCGGGATTACCTGTTCTACGCTTCCCATTTCACTGTGTACACAGACAACAACCCCCTGACCTATATCATGAGTACAGCAAAACTCAACGCTGTTGGTCATCGGTGGGTGGGAGAACTCTCAGACTTCCGGTTCGACATCAGGTATAGGCCGGGAAAATCAAATGGAGATGCAGACACACTGTCCCGGCTCCCGTTGGACATGGGAAAATATGAGGAGGTTTGTACAGAGGAGCTTTCAAACGAGGCAGTACGTGCTACATGGGATGGGAGCCAGGCAGCAGCCCGGAAGGATGTGGCCTGGGTTGCAGCACTTAACATACGTTCCCCGGAACTTTCTCCGCAGCCTCATTGCCACCTGCCAACTATCAGCCATGATGATCTGGTTAAAGCTCAAAGAGAGGATCAAGCATTGAGCACGGTTATTGAGTTAAAGGAGTCCAACTCAAAACTGACGGATGACATACGCCAAACTGTAAGTGGAGCCACCCGAAAACTGCTGCATGAATGGAGTAAGTTGCACCTTGAAGACGGCCTCCTGTACAGAAGGACGACCCAGCACAAGCAGTTAGTCCTCCCTCTGAAACACAGGCCAATAGCTCTGAAGTACCTACACAATGAGATGGGTCATGTGGGCACAGAGAGAGTACTCCATCTAGCTCGGGAAAGGTTTTACTGGCCCTTTATGGCTAAAGAAATTGAAGACTATGCTACCCGTAAATGTCCTTGTATCAAGTCTAAGAAACCCACAACACACTCTCGAGCTCCTATGGGCAGCATCACATCTAACTTCCCTTTAGAGCTTGTGTGTATTGACTACTTGCATTTGGAAGCCAGTTGTGGAGGATATGAATATATTCTGGTAGTGATCGATCATTTCACAAGATTTGCCCAGGCATACCCCACGAAAAACAAGAGCGGGAAAACAGCTGCGGAGCGCATCTTCAACGATTTCATACCCCGGTTTGGATATCCGTCCAAATTACATCACGACCAGGGGCGTGAATTTGAGAATAAACTGTTCCAGTCACTTCAGCGGTTGTCAGGGGTTGGCCACTCGCGGACGTCGCCTTACCACCCCCAAGGAAACCCAGCTGAGCGGTTGAATCGCACCATCCTCCAGATGTTAAGAACATTGACTGACAGCGAGAAACTACGGTGGAAGGACCACCTCCCGCATGTTATACACGCATACAATTGCACCAGACATGAATCCACCGGCTACTCACCGTATTTCCTCCTTTACGGTCGTCATCCACATCTCCCGGTCGACTTGCTCTTTGGATTGGATGGAGAAGGGGAACCATACTCACCTAAAGGGTTTGCAGAGAAATGGGCTGGAAAGATGACTGAAGCCTATCGCATTGCTAGTGAGAATAGTAGGAAGTCCAGTGCAAGGGGAAAAGTGACGTACGACAAGAAGGCAAGAGGAGTGGGACTGCAACCAGGAGACAGAGTTTTGGTCCGGAACCTTAGTGAACGTGGAGGACCAGGGAAACTAAGGGCGTACTAGGAGAAGACTATATATATAGTTGAACGTCAACTTGGCGAGAACCCAGTGTACGTTGTCTGCCCTGAAACTGGAAACAAACAGAAGAGCAGGACACTCCACCGTAATCTCCTGTTGCTGGTGAACGACTTACCTGTCGATGTTTCTCCATCTGACTCCAGACCTATCCCTGAGAAGAAAACGCATAACAGACAAATCCAAGACAGAATGACAGACACTCAAAGGCAGGCAGACACAAGTGAGGATAGTGAAAATGATTCAGATAATGATTCTGGCTCGGGGTACTGGTTAAGGAGACAAATTGTAAGGACAGAGGAGAGACCTGTTACCTACCAAGAGCAACTAACCAGGTATCCAGAGATGCGGGGGTCAGGACCAGCTGTAAGAAGAGAAAGTCATACTGTACCTGGACACTTACCAAACCCTACTAAGACAGGGCACAACAGTGATGAAACCCTCCCTGTATGTATTGAACCTGTGGAGGAAGAAGAAAGCAATAAGTACCTGGACTCTGACTCAGAAGTTCAACCTTTGACCCCTCCTGAAAAAAACACTCAGTCAGACGTTAGAAGGTCTGCTCGTGAGCGAAGGCCACGCCGTTACCTCACGTATGAGTCATTAGGTGAACCATCAGTCCAGGCACTCGCCACAGTTAATTCAGTGACTGGTTACACAGCACCTTATGTACCTGTCATAGAAGCACCTGCACACTCACTCTCTCCGTACATACCGCCTTATTGTATGCCATATCCGCATCCACTCCATTACCCTCAGACGCCATACTTATCATACCCTTACCAAGCTCCAGTCACATACATTCCACCTACTATGCTTGTTCATTGAATAAGGGGTCTGAGAATAATAAGGGGTCTGAGAATCAAAGTTACGAGTTAAAATGGTTAAACAGTTTTGAGATAAAGATTTTTGGAAATGTCAGGGGCTTTATTATTTTTTTTTATTTTTTGTCAGGGAGTGTGTGATACCCAGTAAATTGTTATCACATTTGTGGTATGGTAATGTTATTAAGAAATATTTTGAACTATTTCTACCATCCACTTGTACTAATATATATGGTATATCGAGATCAGGAGAAATTGTGGAGTTCGCCAGCAGTGGGCAGTGTGGCGCTTTGTGTGTTTCCGGGCTTCGCGTTAGTTGTCCCGCTTTGCGGTCTTTCTCTTTCTGCTGAGCGAGATGGAAGACGGACACAGACTTTGCCCTCTCTCATTTATTTCTCCTGTTTCAGGTTGGTAGATTTGTAAATTAAGTTAAATAACTGAAATGTTAAATGTGTACATGTCGCTGAATGTCTTTTCGGGCCGTGTAACAAGGCTGTGGTATGAAAATGTGGACATATATGAATACAACGTTATCTCAGTGTCTGTATGTTCGCGCCCGATGACGTCATCTGTGATTACCAATGTCACGTCAAACGGAGTTTTATTTTGTTAGCTTTTGAACATTTTGTAAAGTATAATAGTTTTGAAAGGTATGATATTGTGTAATGTGTGAAAAGTTAGTGTTAAAACCTAACGTTTTGTATTCTAGAAGTGGTTAAAAAAAACCAAGTTATAAGTCTGTCAGCTCATGCATTGTGGAAGAGTAAAGAAAATGATGCAGGTTGAAAATGCATTTAGGGGTTACATGCAAGTGATAACATAAGCTAAGTTTTATATTAAGTTTAAAAGAGACTACTGACATGGTAAATGAGGTTTTGTCATATTGATTTATTTGGTCATACACAATTTATATCTCAGTAATTGCTGAAAGATCAGAAAAGACAAATTGTATTTTATTTTTGAAACTGTCTATTTCATGAGAAAATATTGTGTTTGTAACCAAGTAGGATTGAGAATGGTTGTGTAATAAATTCTCTCTCTTTCTGCTGAGCGAGATGGAAGACGGACAAAGACTTTGCCCTCTCTCATTTATTTCTCCTGTTTCAGAGCAAGAGCATATAAGCTGTTTACATGACACCGGCCGGTACCTGTAACACATCGCATCTTCATCTTTGCAGCGACGCAGAAAACACCAGTTTATTAATAAACAATTAAATGCCTCCTTGCTATTTTTTACACATTCACTTTTGCCGGCTCGTACGCTTGAGTGCGGCTTTATCATTATCCTGTATAGCCTATTTAAGTTATTAAATCAATATAAAGGGGCGATTTGTCCACTAATGGCTTAAATAAGCAACTGATAGTCGACTAGAAAGAACCTTTAGTCGGAAGCAGGATTGAGCGCGCGACCCTGAGCGGAATGAGCGAGCCGAGGAATCTTCAGAAATGCGCTCTTCGCATGCTTTGATCGGAACAAAGGAATATTGACATAATTAATCATTAGATTATATCTCATACACTGCCCTTCATTTTAATCCCATATCAAACACAGTAGCCTATGTTATGTCTATTTTAATGTTTTTAAATAGACCTCACCTGTCTTGCCAAATGGATTTCTCTTCTTTTCTTTTTTTTAAACATTTTGACACAGCAGCACTTTTATCTTCTCTATTTTTGTTTTTGTTTTTATTTAGATACTACTTGTTACTTCAATAAATTTGAACATTTTAAGCTTTAGCGTTGTGTTGGGGCGAGGGGGGCAGTGGGGCTTGAAAATTCCCCCTTGTCCAAGGCCGGAAAATTAAAGGATGGAAAATTACTTTAGAAAGGTGACCGGGAGAGGTAGTTTTGTTGTGGCCACGACATATAAACTTGTGGAAACGTGATAAGTCATGGCCACACATTTTTGTTAGATAATGTCATCCGTATGCTGTGGCCACGCAATGTTAAGTTGTGGCCTTGAGATTCTATGCTGAGAGAATGACATATTTTTCACGTGGTCACGGCTTCATATGTTGAGGGAACTAAATCTATCTCTCATGGCCATGAGTTAAATTAATAAACAACCTGCGCGACCATAGCAACCTGAAATTGTCAGAAATGGATAGGCATATAATATGTATTTTTAATTAAGAAAGACAAAATAAGGGTGTAATTAAGAAATTATTATATAAATATATTATAGCCTATTATTTTGCATGCAGTGTTGCCTATAGACACCATTTAAATGAAGTTTATCAATAAATAATAAAATAATATGGAAGAACATGAAATAATACAAATATATTTATCCATCCCATCTCACAGCTTTTTAAAGGTGCAGTGTGTAATTTTTAGCAGCATCTAGTGCTGAGGTTGCAAATTGCAACCAACATGGCCGATAGGAAAATGTCATCGTCTGAGACAGCAGAAAGTTGCCAGTTAAGCAATGAGGTTTCTTTACAAAGATAAATTAAGAAAATATTTTTACTTTATTATTTAGTAAAACGATATGTTATTACGAATATTATTGTGTTTTATTCGCTGACTTTAGCTAGCTTCATTGCATGAAGAACAACATAGTGACGAAAAGCGTTTGTTCGTTTGGGGCCAATGTAGAAACCAAGCGGCAACATTCTAATCTGAAAAATGAAGCCTACCCGGAAGTGTGAAAAACTGCAATACATCTACAATCCGCTACTAGAGGGAGGTCCAAAAAGGGAGCAAATATCCACTAATGTTTGAAATTTTGGTTTTCCCATAACCATTTTTTAATTGGACTTTAAATTAGCTATATGTAGGGCATTCTCTCAGTGTTTTAGGCAGACTATTTCACAGGTTCCCACCCCGGACGGACAGGACCACCTGACCGAAGGTAGTACGCCTGAGGGGTATTACGTCTCCTCTTATGGAGGCTTGTGTGGTCCTCTGTGAATTAACTTTAAAGGGGGGGGGTTGACTGCGATTTCACTTTTTTCATTTTAAACAGTGTGTAATGTTGCTGTTTGTGCATGAACAGTATCTGCAAAGTTGCAGAGCTGAAAGTTCAGTGTAAGCAGAGATATCGTCTTTTAAAAATCAGGAAGTATATTGCCTACAAAAACGACTCGATTGGGACTACAGCTGGGTTATGGTACGTCACTAACCCACACATTTGCATCAACCTCTCCCTCAGAATATGCAGAAAATGGCATGCGCCTATTTCTGAGGCACGTCGACTCATCGAGTGTGTTGTTCAAGCAGCTGTCAGGTCTTCTGTGTTCGGGCTTCCCATGGATGCTATACTTCCTCAACAATGGATACAATTTATGTTTGATTATGTTCCTGAAAATGACGATCGTAATCTAGCTCTCTGTGCTGCGCATTTTACGGAAGACAGCTTCCAGAATCTCCACAAGTTCAACACCGGATTCAACAAGAAACTGTTACTAAAACATGAAGCAGTTCCGACTTTAAAACAAGAGGCAGCAGTGTTGGGCCACAATCTGTAAGTAGGCTAAGACTTCATCATTTTAAATGTATTTGCATGTATAATTCCAGACGTAGCCTTGTGTTTTGTTTTTTTCAAATGCCAGCACTGGCTTTATAGCCACTACTAGTTAGCCTATGCTATTTTGTGTCTACGACAAACACGTACAAACATTATGGACCTGAATTTTCTATAAAAAAATGTCTATGCGGGCGGCAGTGGCTCAGTGGTTCATGTGGGTTGTCTACAAACCGAAAGGTTGGTGGTTCAATCCTCGGTTCCACCTGACCAAGTGTCGAAGACACCTAACCCCAGCTGCTCCCGACGAGCTGGATGGCGCCTTGCATGGCTGACACCGCCGTCAGTGTATAAATGAGTGTATGAATGGGTGAATGTGAGGCAAATGTAAAGCGCTTTGGTGGCCAGTAGGTCTATGAAAGTGCTATATAAATGCAGTCCATTAAACATTTACCATATAAGTACTAATGTTTTAAACGTATTTTTCATGTATATATGCTTTATGACGTTATTTTCGATTTGATCAAGAACGTAAACATGTCAACGCTGTTTGAGTATAACATTAGTAGCCAGTCAGTTGCTATTGTTGCCAGTAAGATGCTATTGTGTACAAACCGAATTCCATAAAAGTTGGGACACTGTACAAATTGTGAATAAAAACAGAATGCAATGATGTGGAAGTTTCAAATTTCAATATTATATTTAGAATACAACATAGATGACATATCAAATGTTTAAACTGAGAAAATGCATAATTTTAAGGGAAAAATAAGTTGATTTTAAATTTCATGGCATCAACACATCTCAAAAAAGTTGGGACAAGGCCATTTTTACCACTGTGTGGCATCCCCTCTTCTTTTAATAACAGTCTGCAAACGTCTGGGGACTGAGGAGACAAGTTGCTCAAGTTTAGGAATAGGAATGTTGTCCCATTCTTGTCTAATAAAGGCTTCTAGCTGCTAAACTGTCTTAGGTCTTCTTTGTTGCATCTTCCTCTTTATGATGCGCCAAATGTTTTCTATGGGTGAAAGATCTGGACTGCAGGCTGGCCATTTCAGTACCCGGATCCTTCTTCTACGCAGCCATGATGTTGTAATTGATGCAGTATGTGGTTTGGCATTGTCTTGTTGGAAAATACAAGGTCTTCCCCGAAAGAGACGATGTCTGGATGGGAGCATATGTTGTTCTAGAACTTGGATATACCTTTCAGCATTGATGGTGCCTTTCCAGATGTGTAAGCTGCCCATGCCACACGCACTCATGCAACCCCATACCATCAGAGATGCAGATTTCTGAACTGAGCGCTGATAACAACTTGGGTTGTCCTCGTCCTCTTTAGTCCGGATGACATGGCGTCCCAGTTTTCCAAAAAGAACTTCAAATTTTGATTCGTCTGACCACAGAACAGTTTTCCACTTTGCTAGAGTCCACTTTAAATGAGCCTTGGCCCAGAGAAAACGCCTGCGCTTCTGGTTCCCGTTTAGATATGGCTTCTTTTTTGACCTATAGAGCTTTAGCCGGCAACGGTGAATGGCACGGTGGATTGTGTTCACTATCAATGTTTTCTGGAAGTATTCTTGAGCCCATGTTGCGATTTCCTTTACAGTAGCGGGTGTGATGTGTGATGCAGTGCCGTCTAAAGCCCCGTTCACACCGCCAGCGACACACAGCGACAAAGCGACAAGATCCCATTCATTTCAATGGAGCGCTGGCGACATCCGGCGACACAAGCGACAGTGACCGTTGGCGACAGAATGTGGGCGTGTCAAGCGACAAGAGACAAGCGACAAAAGTTGAGAATTTTCAACTTTATGCAAATGAGAAGCGATTTTCGCGAGCGACAACCAATAGGAAAGAAGACTTTCAGTGGAGCTCAGCTCACGTCACCGTCTCGAGTGCAGTGCAGGCAAGACAGAAAGAAAGAGTTTGAGGACGATTTCAATATGATTTGACTGTAACCACATACATGGATAATAAAATGATGCATGGAAAAGAAACTGTCGACAGTGAGTTTAATTCATACATTTAACGTTATAGTTCTAGTGTTGTAATTATATGATGCACGTTAGCACTGCTGCAGTTCATTTTACAATTTCCCCTGATGATTTAATCCACTGAACACAGCTGTGGAGATATAAAAACACTCTCCCAACAGCATATGGTTTCTTTTTAGCCTTAAAAGTCATTTATTCCCTGTCAAATTAAAATTATATATCACTTGTGATGGTCTTTTGTATAGATATGGCCAGACGTGCAGTCTAGAGGTCTGCACCCCCGCGGGACTCCCGCGGGTCGCGACGCAAAACAGTGCGGCGCGGGAGAAATTTTGAAAGGTCAATGCGGGAGCGGGCGGGATGATGAGGTGCACTTGCGGGTGCGGTCGTGAGGGATGATGCGCTGCACTCCCGCAAATTAAATATGAGTGTAAAATAAAATATATAAATGATTAAAGTAGCGTACATAATTTGTAGTTGTGACGGAGATTCTGATTGGCAGCAATAAAAACGTTTTAAGCAGCCTGAACTTGTGAATATTGTCGGGTAGGGCGGGGCATAATCTCACGCACAGTCGCACACTTGTTTAGAGACAATTCCTTCCCGCTGCTCCGTGTTCGAATTCGAAAGCTAGTTCAAGTTCAAAATAGACAGCATGGACGAGGAACAGAGCGCCTCTAGTGCTTCAGATAGAGGCCTAAGCGCTTCAGATGTAAGTTACGTTACTTCTCTAAAGTACTTGTGGTAGGCACACAGGCTATTTCAGTTTAACACCTGCACTGAGCGGCTCAAAGCCCACATAGTTTTTTAGTCACAATGTTTTAGTTCATGGCTAGCCTATAATGTGACAGGAACATTATCTGCTTCTTTTACCTTTATTTTGATCATTTTCATTTAGACATGCTGGTAGCGACCTGCTGAGTTTTTTTCTTCTTCTTCTTATTATTATTATTCATATTATTCTATTCATATTCATATTATTATTATATTATTATTATTAAAATTAAAAGGTAGGCACACAGGCTATTTTCAGTTTAACACCTGCACTGAGCGGCTCAAAGCCCAAATAGTTTTTTAGTCGCAATGTTTCATGGCTAGCCTATAATGTGACAGGAGCATTATCGAATTATATATATAGATAGATAATAATATTACCTAATCGAATATATATATATTTTTTTGTTACATGTTAAGCCTAATGGAATTTCGACCGATTAATGTTATCTTTGTTGGCGTTCGTTACTGATGCCTGTTTAATGTTTTGTATGGTTGATTATGCAGGCTTACCAATAAATATGTTACCAAGTATTGGTAAGGAATTTTGTGAGCACGCATTTTTTTTCCCCAGGGCCAAGACCTTTCGTCAGAAAGTGCGGGCGGGAGCGGGACATTATATCACAGATGCGGGCGGGAGCGGGACTAAAAATGACAAATCTTTGCGGGAGCGGGAGGGAGCGGGTCTGAACACTGCGGGAGCGGGCGGGAGCGGGTCTGAAAATTGTGTCCCGCGCAGGTCTCTAGTGCAGTCTACCAATAACACAAGAGCGATGTCAGCACTACGAACGGCCACAAGCGACATCACAGTACAGAGCCTAGCGACACACAGCGACAAAATCGCTGGCGGTGTGAACGGGGCTTAAGGGCCCTTATGCACAGAGATTGTTCCAGATTCTCTGAATCTTTTGATGATATTATGCACTGTTGATGATGATAACTTCAAACTCTTTGCAATTTTTCTCTGAGAAACTCCTTTCTGATATTGCTCCACTATTTTTTGCCTCAGCATTGGGGGAATTGGTGATCCTCTGCCCATGTTGACTTCTGAGAGACACTGCCACTCTGAGAGGCTCTTTTTATACCCAATCATGTTGCCAATTGACCTAATAAGTTGCAAATTGGTCCTCCAGCAGTTCCTTATATGTACATTTAACTTTTCTGGCCTCTTATTGCTACCTGTCCCAACTTTTTTGGAATTTGTAGCTCTCATGAAATCCAAAAGGAGCCAATATTTGGCATGGCAATTCAAAATGTCTCACTTTCAACATTTGATATGTCATCTATGTTGTATTCTAAATACAATATTGAAATTTGAAACTTCCACATCATTGCATTCTGTTTTTATTCACAATTTGTACAGTGTCCCAACTTTTATGGAATTGGGTTTGTAAAATAAACGTGTATAAAGTTAAAAAATGTAGCAAATTATCATTCAGAAACGTTTAGTAAGAGCTGTAGTATGTGGTGAGGTTCTGCTTGACTCTCTTCATCGCAGCTTTCTCGGTCTGATTATGCCTGAAACTGATACTGCAGTTCGACACATATTTATATCTGGACCAGAGCTCATGACATGCACGTTTCGCCCATAAAGGTAATGGGCGTTAACGTTCCGGACAACGTGAGTGACAGTTTAGCCAATCACAATACACCGGGCCAAACTAATCAATCTGAGCCCACTACGTGTTTCTGAGGGAGTGTTTTCATAGAATCAGGAAGTAAACCGCTCTTTCAGGGGACAGAGGAGAGCGTGGCTGACAATAAAGGTGAAGTTTATGAAAAATAAGACTTTTAAAAAAAGAAAAACCACAAATACATGTTATATTGCACCCCATAAATACAATCATGCAAAGAAAAAAAGCAGTCAACCCCCCCCCTTTAAATTTAATAAAATCCTTCAGCGGTGGAGGAGCGAGGGAGTGTAAAACCTTGTATATCATACAAGCCATTTTAAAATTAATCATATTTTGAAAATCTAGTAGTCTATGCTTTTTTAGAACATGACAGTAATGGTGGGATAACGATTTTTTATCTAGTGTTTTTAATGCCCTTTTATAGAGACTTTCTATTTTTTAAGTGTTGTGGGGCAAGCCAAAGACCAGAGAGTCAAACAATAATCAAATGAGAGACTATCATTGAACAAAAATAAGACATTTGGACATGAATTTGGTAGGTTATTAATAAAGACAGAAAACAGAACAGGCCCAAGGATAGACCCCTGAGGGACCCCAACTCCAGAATCAGACAAGTCGATTTTACACCATCCACTACCACGTACTGTTTCCTGTCTGACAGATAAGATTGAAACCATAAAAGTGCTTGATCAGAGATGTTAAATTTACTCAATCTGAATATTAAAATCTGATGCAGAGTCAAAGGCTTTCTTCAGATCTAAGAAGACAGCCCCGACACAAGGACTCTTGTCAAGCAAACCTTTTATGTTTTCTGTTAACACACACATGGCGCTATCGGTGGAGTGATGGGTCCAAAAACCGAATTGTAATGGATGTAATGAAGGTTGAACATTTTCCAGATGGGCCACTAGCAGTCTGACTACCCACTTCTCCACTATTTTTGATATAACTGGGAGTATGCTAATAGGTCTATAATTGGACATGTCTGCTGTAACACATGATTTGAATATTGGTGTAACTGCAGCCACTTTCCAATCTGCAGGGACCATAGAATAATTGAAGTACATATTAAGAAGATGAGTAATTGGACATATAAGAGGATCCTTATACTCTTTAAAAAAATCTGTAATAAGGCCAAATACATTTTGAATTGTTCATGCCAGTAATAATTTTTGTTACTTCGTACTCTGAAATTTCATAAATTTTAAAGGGGTGATGAACTGAGAAATCAAATTTTCCTTGAGCTTTTGACATCTAAGAGGTCATCATATTATAAGAATATCCTGTAAGTTTCAGAACTGAAAACGTCCTTGTTATGGTGCGTGCACACCGGACGCGAATAGAGCGTCAGACGCAAATGATTTCAATGTTAAATCAATGCAAAGAAGTGTAACGTGTGTAAAAAATTCCTGCGGCGCGAATGAGGCGTAGAGCGTGGCGTGGTAGACAAAATATGCCTCGTTCGTGCGAATGGCGAGAATTGAGTGTCTGGCGCATTAAGTGTGTTTCGCGTGAATGATTTAGTTAGTGCTTTTTGTGCATTGACATGTTTGGCGCGAATTCACGCCTGCCGCCCGAGTTGAAAAATCTGAACTTTGCCGTGAAATTCGCGCCGCGTTAACTAATCAGGAGCCTGCTGCTTGCTCACGTGGTGAAGTATCTGGATGCTTCAATACATTTTGTAATATGACTAAATGCCTGGTGTGGTTCTAATGCACAACAAAGCAAATATTTTACCACTCAAAACTTTATTTCATATTATAAACTTAAAAATCACAGGACAGGTTAATAACTTTTGGAGGCTGGCTCTATCATCAAAACAAAAATAAAGGACTGATTAGATGGGCGAGGGTGATCCTCGCTCCAATGCGGGACAACAGGTCATCAAACTGGCCGTGGGCCAGGCGGAAGTACTGTTGACAGCGGCCGTCATCCAGGCGCAGCTCCTGGAGCGAGCAAATGGTGAAACTCGCCAAACGGTTCGCCTCCAAAGGGTCCGGTGGACACAACTACGGTGATGATGATCCCCAAGCCGCTGTTCTAATCTCCAGTGCGGTGACTCTCTCGATGAATGCTTTGTCAACACAAAAAAAAATTGGCCGCCAACAGATTTCGATTCTAACGCGCGTGATGCACATAAATTTTGCTTCAAACTTTTGTTTTTACACGCGTCAGTTTCACTCTTGACGCGCAAATTAACCCAAAGTGGTCAAGCGTCAAACTAGACGCGGTAGACATGAATTTGACGCGCTATTCGGTGTGAACGCACAGTAAGTCCAATAAAAGCTTTTATTGACACCAGACTCAGCAAACGACTCGTTTTTCGAAGTGGGGAACTGACATCAAAGAGGATAAAACACCACCCCTGCAGAAGAAGATTAACGCCTACTTCAGCAAAGTCGGTTTAGCCACGTATTACATGCTAAGCTAAATAACATAGGCCTACCTCGTGATGACAAACCAGATCGAGCAACCGAGCAATACAAAATATTGTGCAGTGCCTGGTTGTGGAAGAAGACAGTCACTGCTTATGCTTCCTCTGGATTCCAATAGGACTGCATGGATAAACTTTATTTTTAATGACGTTCCAGCTGATGAGGTAAAACACTGTCCGTCTGTTCGCTTCATTTCACTGAGGATTGTTTTGTAAACAAGACTGGATTTTAGGGCTGAACGATTAATTGCATTTGCGATAAAATCGCGATATGATGAAACGCGACCAGTGTAATCGCAAGAGCTGCAATTACACTGGTCACGTGACACGCGAGAGAAAAGCAGTCTGCAAGATAAAGCATCAACTTGCCACGCTACGCGGTCAGGCGTTCAGAAAAGAACAGTTTATTTTTAATGTATGTGATATTGTGTTATTTATTCTCTCCTCAACAATCCTGGATCGATTCAGAGAATTTCAGAATCGAGTATGAGCTTATAGTTTTTAAACACATGCGTGATGACGCTGCGCGTGCTTTAGAAACGAACCGGGTTCTGAATCTGCTTGCTTCTATTTTCTCGCTCTCTCTCTTCCTCACTCACACACACGACACCGCTCGAACCTTACAAAACATAGTAGCTAACGTTATTTCATAAAGTTCGGGACTGAACCGAATTACAAGGACATTCGCGGGCTTCATTGAACAGGTTTTGCCGCTTTGCTTGATGTTATAATTACACTTGCAGTGCGCGTTCTCTCCCGCGGGAATTTTCTTTACAAATGCTTCACAGAGGCATTATTTATGTCTTTTGGAATGCAGTTGGCTTGTATATTAAAACCATGAAAATCACTGAGAAGGCTCTTTCATTTTAAAATACTAACGCGTGCTTTGTGAAGAGCGCTCGTGCATGCGGCTGTGAGTGACTCATTGGTAAATGTACTTGCATGTCAAAATGCTTTTATGACGCGAAATTAATGTAAACACGGTCAGTTATATCTTAAACCAACAGGACAAACCACATTTACAATTTGAAAAGAGATATATGCATTAGTGTGAATGCAGCAAATCGTATTTAAACTGAGGGGAAATCACTCCAGCTCTTGAATGAAAAACATACAGACAGCCTACTTTTAAATACTGAGACCACTCTTACTTTATTGCTTGTAATGTTTTTTTTTCTCTTTATTTACTAGCTTTTATATTTTGAAGCTATAATATTTTATGTAGCCTATTTAAAATTCTTAACATGTAATTGGTATAATTAAATGTTTTTTAAAGTATGTGTTTTTACACATGTAATTAAATACATATTTTAAGAGAAAAAAAGTAGATCGGATCATGAGCTATCTAAAGATTCCCATCCCTACTGTACAATGATTTATTGCTTGTCTTTGTCGACTAATACAGAAGGTAAATAACTTTTTTTTTAAATCGCATATTAAATCGCAATCGCAATATTGGTTAAAAAAAAAAATCGCAATTAGATTATTTTCCAAAATTGTTCAGCCCTACTGGATTTGCAGACAGATTAAACCTCTGAGGACCAAAAACGCGTCCCCACGTTTTGATCGTT